CAGTTACAGCTGCCTTTCTCTCATGTTCCTCTTCAAACAAAATTGTTCTTGTTAAACAACATGGGTGATAGAGATAATGATTTTGGCATATTTGCTTTCAATTTAAGGGGGGGAAAAAAAAAGAAAATATTTCTCCCCTATGCTGTGTGTGTTGTTTCAGTCCTCCTGATGGGTAGTTCAAGGTTGGCTGGTCTTTCCTTGAAATCTGAAGAAGAGTGTACTGGCAATACTGGGGATGTGGTACATCGGTTCTTTAAACAGGGGCCAGAAGACACACACAGTACCTGTGCTACAGTATTCCCCGTATTTCTGTCAGTTCCTTGGTGTGAGCAGTAGGACGCTGCTGGCTCAAAGTCACAGGGAAGGCCCCCCAAAGAGATGGGGTGCTCACCCTGACCCGTTGCAGCTGCAATCCCACTGTGCTGAGCCAACCACAGTGTTTCCTGTGGCATGCCTTGTTGTGTGTGGAGCAGGACAGTGCTGGGGAGATGGGGGAAAAAGCAAAAGTCTGGGGTGGTTGAGACTGAGCTAGAGTGAGGAAGAGGTGAAGAGTCAGCCATGCTAGGCTGTGCTCTCTATTCCTGTCACAGCCACTGTTTGACCTGCTCTCACCTCTGTCTCTCGGTGTAACCTACCTATCATGGTGGTCACTCTCAGATGCAGTTATTATTAAGGATGTGACTGTCACATATCACCCGACGCCTTACAAAGCAAATAAGTAAATGAATATTTGTTGCTTCCCCTGTGCCTCCAGTTGGGAAAAGAAAGGCATGTTGGAGACCTGTCAGGAGGGGCCCGTTGAGCTCCTGTCCCTGCACTTTGGGAATTAGGGCGATGTGAAGTGTCTGGGAAGAAACAACCACCCCTTTCCATAGCCTTCAGCCCTGCTGCTGCTCTCGCAGTGTTCAGAAGGGTCCGTTGGTGGTGTTTGCTGTGAGGCTTTTCTCTTCAGTTTCAAAAGATAGAAGATAAGCAGCTATCACACAGCTAAAGTTGTCTTGCTAGTTAGAGCAGTAAAAAGATACAGAACAGATTTATGTAAAAGGCAGGTAAAACACAGAAGAAAATTCTCCAGAAGGAATTTCTCCTTGTGCTCCATGAGCTGTATTTTAAAAGCAAGCCCAAGTTACAAAACCCTTCCTTCAGAGGAGCCATTTTGACACGGGCCATTTTATTGCCCTGTGGTTCTCTGCTGTTGGTGATGGTCCACCAGTATTAACTGATACTGATAATTACTGATTTCACTGGTGTAAGGTAAGCTTCACTGTGAAACTGGTACAGGTCAGGGTCTTCACTCCAAAAAGCAAATGCACTGAATGCTGGAGGTAGTGCTATCTTTTTATGCGGGTCTACTTTAGCACTGGGGAGAGGTGACCCCCCCTGTATGACAGCCACCTCACACCAAAGCACTGTGTCAGCAGCTCAGCTGTGAATTAGGAAAGTAGGAACAAGCAAGTGTGGGACGTTGCTTTTAGGAAAGAGCTAATCTGACCCTGTAGGAGGAATGTGGCAGCACTTGGACATGCATAAAAGCTTGATGTGACTTGGTGAAATTCAGTGCTGTTGTGGTGCTTCCTGGCAAACTGAGTTTTGTGTGATCCAGGACATTGTAGTGGTTTTGTAAGTGTGTGGCATGGAATTGTTTTAAGGCACTGCTCATCTGAGTGAGTAAATGAGCCCACTGAACATGGCAGGTGTATTTCTCCACTCGAAGTTAAATCCCTGTGCAAGTCTGATGTTGAATTAGGCTTGGAAATGTGAATGATGTCTACCAAAGAATGGAGAAGAAACGTAGAAGAAGGTGAGGGAAATCCTTTGGGAGGGTGGCTGCTCTGCTCCTGTACAGTGGCACCTGGTCCAGGAGAAGATGGGAGCACTTGGTACATAGCACTGTGGCAGCCATTCATGTCTAGGTGTGTGAAGTGGTAATGGTCAAATGTGTTGCACCAGAGTCAGCTCAGGAAGGAAAGAGTGCATGCGTCAGTGAAGTGGGATGTGTGCATGGTCACAATGTGATACCCCATTTTCATTCGTGTTTGATACGGTGCAATAAAATGTAGGGTAGATGAAGATAGATGCAAATGTTCTCATGGGAATTGCATATGTAGGCTTTTAAGATTTACCACTAGTCATGTAAACAGGACAATAACTGCCATAGAGAGCTAACGCCAATTTCTACATGTGTTTGCAGAGCACAGAATTTCTGGGGAAAAAAATGGAAAAGTGAACATTGCACAGCCCCTAAAAGCTCCTAAAACTTTTCCATTACGTCTCAATATCTCATGAACTCTTATGATAGAATAGATAGATAGAATTGGCAGTGCCTAGGTAGCTAAGGGAAGCTTCCTTTTTATGTATATACACATATCTGCACATATGCACGGATGCATTTTGGAGCCTGTCATAAAGAGGGAAAGGAATTTAGAAGGGGAAAAATATAAATTGAAGCCTTTTTTTCCCTTTCCTTTTCTTTTTTTTTTTTTTTTTTCTTTTTTTTCTTTTTTTTCCCCCCCATTTCCCCTGCTGTTGCAAATTGTAGCTTCTGAAAGCTTTGTCCTGACAAAATGAGGACTAAACAGGTGTGTGCTTTAGAAACTTTACCTAACGAGGGTACTGGTGCAAGGCGGTCACACTTTTGTTTTGCTTGGAGTGTTTCATGCTGCTTGCACACAGGAAGGAGAATCAGTTATCCTCAGTTGGTAGCAAAGACACACAGTGTTCCTCCTCATCCATGCCAAAGTTCAAGGACGCCCTGTAATTTCACATGGCCCACATAAAGGGGGGAATTTATTCCTAATTTAAAAACATACAGAAGGGTAAATGCAACAACTGTTTTTTCCTTAGAGCTTGCATAGGAGAATAATTAAAGGCAAGAATCATATTTTATCAGCAATATATTGGTTTGCACGTAGAATTCCTTTGTTGAAAATTACAGAACCAGAGGCCTGATCCTGCTATAAGGGCATTTAATGGCATATTTCCTATTTATTTCAGAAAGAAAGAGCAGACCACAGCTTAACATGTGACAGATAAATCTGCTCCTTTAGAAGGAGGTTGCCTGTTGCTTTTAGGCTCCCAATTTCTGCTTCCTTGCTGTCCTGGGAAAAAAGATGGACACAAATTGTACATATTAGAAGGATAATGGAGAGTTTTTATAAATATAAATATTGTCTTGAACATTGCTGAACCCAAAATATAAAAGATTGGGCCAGTGAATGAAAGTGAAACTGTCTGAGAGCAAAAGTGAAACCAACAGGCAACTTTCACTGTCCAGGCTGTGTGAAATGCAGAGAAGTAAATTCTTAACAGGTGATGCTGAACAGTAAATTTGAATTTTAAAAATTTATTTACTTTTATTAGTGTAAGAAAGTGTAGCTAGTGATCTAGATAAAGATTTCCCCTCCAGCATAGGTGCTTTTCTTGATGGTTATCGCCTTAAAAAGGCAGAATTGATAAGAAATGGCTTCTTTTTTCTTCGTGATGTTAAGGGGCATCCCCTTGTGTCACCCCCTTTCCCCTCTTCATGCCTTGATCCCAAGCTTTGAGTCATTTACACAAGTATGCTGACAGGAGCATGCATCACAGCTGCAGGAAGCTCACCTTGCTTTGCAAAAATGGGTGCCTATAACCTGCACATTTCTGGAGGAGGAGAAAAATATGTAGCTATAAAAATATATGAAAAAGATGGTAGAACGTGTATAATCTGTAAAATACCAAAAAAGAGAGAGGCAGCATAGCAAATGTGAGAAAGAGATGCTTACTTCTTCCTGCTTGGTCTGATAGGATCAGTAGGAGAGAACTGTGCAGAAAAGTGAGCAGAGAGCAAACGCAGCAGCAGCAAAGGGTAAAAAAGAATGAAAAAAAAATAAAAGAAAGCAGGAAGCATGGGGTGTCATAGAGAAAAAGTGAAAATGGAGGGAATGTATGGTTTAGATATGTTAACCTCATGTAAAGTGCTTCCTTGGTTCACTTCTGTCAATGTCTGGGAAACTAGGTGGAAAAACACACGTGGCAACAGTCTTTTAGGATCTAGACAGTATGAGGAGGGGAATATATATGGAAGAAGAAGAGTAAAAGATGGAAGAAAAGATTTCAACATGGGCAGATCTTTCTTTTTGCCTTAAGAGAAAAAAAAAATGCAATTCAGTCATAAATACTACGCTGACCATTGAGGTTTTCTGACCGTGGCTTTCATTGATAATGTTTGTTCAATGACAAACTGAAACAAGGGATTTTGGGAGGATGTAGTATGTCGTGAATTTGTATTCATTATCTTACCTGCTTGTTTTTTTTTTTTTTTTTTTTCTCTCGTATTTGTTCCAAAAGGTGCAGAGGCAAAAAGGGTGTAAAAGTGTTGTACAGACAGTGATTTTAGCTGGTAGCCTTCTTGCAGGTGAAGGGAGGAGATAGAAGCCTCCAGCCTGCAGATCTGTGTAAATTCTGCATTGTAACAAATAAATACGCTGTAACACAAATCCTGGAGAAATGGGTAGAGCAAACACTGCATTTCTCTGGGAAGGTATTCAACTGTTGAAACAGAGGAGGGAAAAGTTGCTCTCGGAAGAAATATGTCAGGATTCTGTCCCTCATATAAATGCCTTAAAAAAAAAAAAAAATTAAAAAAAAAAATCAGATCTCCATCTATGTAAAAATAAGTGATATTTTTTCTGTTTTTCAATATAAGGTCGAGCGATTTGCAGACTAAGTGAGAGATATGAGATAATGAGATACAGCATGCAGCAGTACACAGGCCTCTGAGAACTCAGGAACTGGTTTGGAGGCTCTGGAAGTCCTGCAGAACATGAGGGGGGTGATTTTTAACACGTCTGTCTGACTTACCAAAACAGATTTGATGGCCTCAGTTAGAATGTAACAGGAGTATTTTAAGATGCTTTTCAGCCTAAGAGGTACAAAAGCTTGTGAGGGCCAGACAGTTTGAATGATCAGAAATGGGCCTAAACATTGGAATAATTGTAATGTGTTTTCTCTTATGTTGCAAGGAACGTGGTGCAGCCTCTGCTTCGGACAGGAGGATGTTCGTCCCAGGAGAAGGAGCATCAGTTCTCAGGTAATGTGCTGCTACTTGTGGCATTCCAGGCGGAGAGAAAATAACTTTTCTATTAGGGCTAAATAGTGCCCGACCCTTTGGTCTTTTCGGTTCTGTAGTTTATCGGTGACATTTTGCAGAAGCCTAAAGATTCCTGCTTTATTTTGGGAGAGGTGAGGAGGCCAAGTGTTGTGAGGGAGGGCAGCAAATATGAAGCCCTGCTGAAGCCTGGTCGGTTGCGTGAGAACAGCAGAGCTGACGGTGTTATTTGGGATTTCCCCATTAAAACATGCAAAGGATAGGATGTTACAGAAGGGCTGATGTGTTTGTTAGCTGGGGTGTGTGCTTCAGTTCACCTCGTATTAAAATGCAAAGTGAATTTGAAGTGGATGCTGTAGTTTGTGTTTGGTCAAAGACAGGGCTAAAAAGAAATAATTCTTTCTAATTGTTTGTGGCTTATTTTCTTGTGCTGACAAATATATTTGGTGTGGTCGCAATTAAAAATATTCTGTTTCGATTAAATTGAGGGACGGATACTTGTTTTGGAAGCATGCTGGTTAATTAAACAAGAGTTAGTAAATGGCAAAAAAGCTACAGGCAGGATGCTTTCTGACGATATGCAGTTCCTCGGGGTGAAATTAGTCACTAAGCAAAATTTTCTGATGAGGAAGGAGACGATATTTTGAAGATATTGTATACTTTGTGTGAACTTCTTATACACCAATAGAGAGAGGAGCTGTGTTAAAGTGTTGGTCGTGCTGTTGTGTTGCGTACGGTACCTCGCTTGTTCTTTCTGGTTTGGATTCCTTGTCCAACTCTGATAATTTAGACAAGACAGAAATGTAAATTCTGTTTACCAAATCGGATGTTTGCAGCACTGAAAAAGGAGAGAGATTAAAAATGGTTTGAAGTCTTTAAAATCTGTAATGTTGTTCTGTAGCCTTTCAAAAGGGGGAAAAAAAAATATCAAAATAGCCAAATTTTCACTACCAAAATAATATACAATATCTAAAAATAATATAAATTGCTATTAGAAGGGCTTTGAAATAAACGATACGTTCAAACAGAAAGACAGGGCTTTGCAGTATTTTTCTTCCCAAATTCTCCCTCCTTTTTGGAAAGGCAAATTGGAAGATTTCTTTCAAATATCACGTGAATAAACAAATACAATTGAAATGAAACGTTACGCTCGGTATTTGGTGAAATTTGTTCTCTTCTAAGTATTTAGTTTTTGAACTGCAAGCGCTCTGGAACAGTTCATATCTCAAAGTTTGTGGGGAGAAAATGTTTCAGCATTTTTATTCATACCTGGGGAATCCATTTTAGAAGTCCATTTTCTCTATTTGCAAAATACATTTTTATTAGATCTATGTATTTGGGTTAAGACTTACTTAAAATTACTTAATTAGGTTACACTGAAATTCTAAGTGATTTAAAAAGAAGGATTATGGTAATATGACAAAACATAACACTATTTTCATTGAGATCCTTAAATAAAGCCCTTTTAACATGCCAATTTAAAAAATCTATAAATTTGGGGTGTTGAAACAGTACAAAATATAAAAAGGCCGAACTCGTAGTAAAATATATAATCCTGTACCAGTGCAGGGATTTTGGAACTGTGTCTGGAATATAGGAGGAGGTCATTGACACCTTTGGTTTGTTCTGGGGCATTTCTCTCGCTGTATCATCCTCTGTAAGTCTTTGCTATATATATGTAAAATACTTACAAAATGTTTGTGGCTGTTTGGTAAGGAGAAAATGCAGAGAAAGAGATAACAGTGTAAGTGCGCTGAGCTAGATGGAATCGGTTGTGTTTTCCAAGGAAATTTTGGAAAATCTGCCCAAGAAAAAATTGCTACAAAGAGGGATAAATTCTAAATAATTGTGTTTGTGCTATTTGGAATAGCGTGGCTGCAAATTGTCATTAAAAACCTTCTTGTAAGTCTCGGAAACAGGACAGCAGAAAAAGCCTTTCCAATTGTGCTTTCTGTGGATAAAGTTGTTGGCTCGTAGGCTGATTTTTGGGAGCAAGATATTAAAAAATACACTTAAAAAAAAAAAAAAAAGCTTTATATGAGGTTTTATTATCAGGTTTTTTTTTTTTTTTTTTTTTTTTTTTTTGTATTTTGAGAAAAGGAAAATCCGTGAGTGTTACTTTGCTCTGTATTGTTTATGGTCTAAGGCAAATAATAAATCTGTGGAGGTTTTTTTTTTTTTGTTTTGTTTTGTTTTTTTTTTAAGCAATATTTATGCAAAAAGCCCAACAGTCAGTTTCCTTTAGTTGGTGTCTTAATTTCGGAGACGTAGCAGAACATTTCTGGCTATTTGCGTTTGTTGCAGGGCCGGAGCAGGAGGCAGCCCTGTGTAGTCTGTCAGGCAGCACACGTCTGAGCATATTACAGTTTGTAGCGCTACGAATTAGAGCCGTTGGAGTTGTATTGCGGTACGGTGCTCTTTTAAAAATGCTGGTAGCCGGGCAGGTGTGCGGGACAGGGCTGGACACAGCAGGGGGTGCCGGTGCAGGTGACCCCGTGGCTGTCCCGGTGGGGTGCTGCCGAGAGGGGCCCTGCCGTCCCCTGTGCTGGGCCAACTCGGAGCTGGGTGCCGGGGGCGTGGGTGATTTTTGGCTGGCACCGGGCTGTTTGCGTGCTCGTACCCGGTGCTTGGCATAAGGCAGGAGCTGGGAAGCGCTGCACGTGTGAACAGTACGTGTGCTGGGCACCTGTATGGAGCGTTTGGGAAAGGGGAGAGGGCACGACAGTTCGACGGAGCCTCGCGCTGCTCTCGCTGCAGGAAAACGCAGCGTTCCTGATAACTTTGTTGCAAAGTTTTGGGGGGGCTCGCCTGGCTACTTCCGAGTTAATTCACTCAGCAGCATCAGTGTCGTGAAAACAGTTCGGAACAAAGCAAAAGATGCGGAGGAGGATCCGTCAGCGGTCGTTCGCTAACCGGGGGGAGCGGGCAGTCACCGAGCCCGGTGCGGCCCGCACTGAGCGGCCGGGCTGCTAGGAGCAGAGCCGCGGGCAGAGCACAGCACAGCCGCCAGCGTGGCCGGGCCGGGCCGCTCGGAGCACGGACGGCGGGCCGCACCGCACAGCACCGGGCCGTGCCTTCAGGGCCCGCGGGGAGCAAGGCCCGGTGCCGGCGGCCCGGCCGAGAGGGAGCGGGGTTGGGGGGGGCGGCGAGAGGCCGGCCCGGCCGCGGGGCCAACCCGGCGCCGCAGAGGGTTAACGCGGGCGGCTGGGAGTTGTAGGCGCCGCGGCATGCCGGGAGCTGTCGTAAACGCCGCGCCGCGCCACCGGCATGGCGGCTCGGGAGCTCGGCAGAGGGGGAGCAGAGCCTTCCTTCCCTGTGCTGGGAGTGGGGCTGCCCGGCCCTTCCTCGGCGGCTGCCCGGATCTCGACCGGCTCCGCGGCGGGGCCGGGCGGGGGGCGGCGGGCGGCGGGGGGACGGATCCGAGAAGCTGGCGGGACTCGGCAGTAGGGATGTTTGGTCTGAGGACGAGCTGAGGAGGGAAGCGGCTTGTAAACAAGAGGAGTTAGAGTGAGGAAATGCTGCAGCGCGAAGCTGGGAGACGGCATCGACAGAGGGGAGGCTCGGAACCGTGTGCCGACAAGATGAAGTAAAGCTAAGATTAATGGGATTCGGTGATGCAAATAGAAGGCAACGGCGATCTGTTCAAGTAGAGCTCCCCGGCTTGGCAGTGGATTAGGGGTCGGAGCGGTAGGCAGCAGGATGGCAGCGTGCTGCTGCTGTGAGGGGCTCAGAAAGTACGTGAGTAAAAAGGCCGCCCTCTGGAATGTGCTGCGGGAGGGCCTCCGTCGGCTGTGCAAAACATGGATGTCGGAGTGCATGGCTGCCGAGTCCTTATCTGCAGCCCGGCTGATCGCCCACGTTCAGATAAACGGTTCTGAACAGATGCAGAATAGGGCTGTGGATGTTAAGAAGAATGAAGAGTCTGCTTGCTGGGAGACAGGAAAGTTGTGTGGTTTTTATGTATGGGAGGAAAGGAACTTGCAAGCTCAAGGTTAGCATAAGCAAGCTTAAAGAAAGTGAATGCAGTTCACTGGAAATAGCAAGAAAAGTTCTCACTGTTGTTCTGTAAATGCTCTGGAGAGGTTTCAAATGGGCAAGAAAACTCAATTGCTTTTGAAATAAAGTTTGAAAAATTCAGAAAAGAAGATCAGTGTGTGGCTCTGCAGAGTAGTGGGGAGTTTGGCTCAGGAATCCTGAATGTCCCATCTATTAGTTCAGTGCTCTTGTGACCCAGCAAAATGGACTATGAGATGGATGAGTACTTCTGCAGTGGGCCCATTTTGATACAGCTGTTGTCATCATGCTTTCCTTTTCCATTATTCAAGTGTGTTTTTTTTTTCTTTGGGACCCGTACCAGAAGCAGAGTACTTCAATTATATTCACTGCCAGATGCATCTCATGTGTACGTTCGGCATTATGCTCACAGAATGGAAGCTGTGTTCTTTACCTTGCTCACTTCAACGTGTGAAGTTTCTGTACATTTCCACCCTTATATATCGAATAACTGTTGAGGTGTACTCACACAGCTCTGCAGGACTTTCTGTGCCTGGATGTGCCATTAGTAGAAGTCCTCATGGAACAGCTTTTTAGGAAAACATTTAAATGAAAAACTTGAAGTCTTCTAGGGCAAGGCAATATTGCATTCATGAATGTGTGTACAATCAGCTCCCTTGTGATGTTACCTGAGACCTTATATCTTTCTTCTGCTTTTATTTTTAGTGTCTGTAGTTTTTACATACCACACTTAGTGCAGCATCAAAAAGTTAACAGAAGAACGTTGGCATTACAGAATGTTGCTCTTCAGACCAAGGCTGCCATGGTCCAGGCAGACATTTTAGATTCCTTCCTGGCACCATTGCTATCTGGGAAATCTCCATAACACAGGAAATTAAACAATCATTGCTCAGCCGTCCTTTTTCATTTTTATCTTATAGTCCACAACTGATCCAGGTTATTCAGAGAGGAAAAAAAAAGTGTTATGGAGGTAACATCCCACTCGGTGGTCAGTAGAAAACTAAGTGATCGCATCACTCTCTTCATCAGCGCATGCGTTAAGTGCTTCCAGTGGCTCTTTTTCTAGTTGCTGAAACCGAGTAGTGAATAGATTATAGGGATTAAACTTCTTTCATTCCCCTGGAGGTGAGCAAGTCATGTGAAAATGAAAGGCTTGTTTGGTAGGAGACAGTATGAAAGACTGGGAGTACAAATATATATATATTATCTCTAAATGGCTTCTTGCACACTTTGTCTTTAACAGATGGTAGTATGTGAGCTGCAGATAGAAACTGGAGGCTTACAGGGAAGAAATGTGACTGAACTAAATCTGTGAGTACGGAATGAAACGTGCTTGGTCATTATTGAAACTGGATTCCTGTTTTTCTTTTATTGTAAGTTTGATTTTTCTGAAGAAAAATATACCTGTCCATAGCATATGCTTTCTCTTCTCCTGACCTTTTTGAATTAGAAGGAAGTTGTTGTCTTTCCCACTGTAATGCTGGGAACACAGTACAAGGGCTACAGCAAAGGAAGGTTTTCTGACTTGATGTGCGCAGATCATCCTACAAGGCATTCCACTGCAAAAGGAGGGACTTTCACTGGTGTCACCACTTACTGTCCTCCTCTTGTGCTGATGTTTCCAGGGGGATAGTGTTTCTTACCCCTGAATAGGTGGCCTTCTGCATGGGAGCATTAGTACGGTGTCTTTTGTCTTTTATGTAGTTTACTTCCTCATACTCCAAGAATGAAAAAACAGTCAAAGGAGAGAGGAAATGATAGGGTAGCTCCCTTAGAAGAGCCTCTCCTAGGAAAAAATAGCTCAGAACCCCTAAAATGATCATACAGTTGGTACAAAAGCTGCTGGTTGTTGTTGTTATAGCAGCATCTACAGGAATAGAAATAGCAAGAAGAGAAATAGGAAGGCTGGCATTCCCTCGCTTTCCAACTTGTGAAAATTTTAGGAAGGAAATTTACATATTTTGGAGCTACTATTTCTGCAGTGCCTTCTTATGCAGAAGCTTACCTCGAAATTTAATCAGGCTGTCTTATTAGGTGAAAATACTATCTGTACTCATTTAAGAGTGGTGGTGGTCATTTCTGTCTCAGGTGTTTCTGTGGGAGGAGTTCAAATGATTGCCACCATTCTTAACTGTTGTTAAGGGAGATGGCAGTTTGATTTAAGCTATGAAGGTGTAATGAGTTTTGCTCTCCCACCGTCTTGCACAAAGAAGCACTCAGAGAGGACAGACTTAAGCAGTTTGAGCCAGGCAGTGATCTGCTACCATAAATTCCCCAGTGTTGTATTGCCCTTTGATGCTTCAGTTACAGTCCATGAATGGAAGACTGGAACACATGGATGTCTTTTTGGCATCTGAAGCTGCCGAGTTGCCTGCTTGGGATGTTGGAGAGAGGACCTCCTCCCGTTTCGGCCCCCACATTTATCTGCCTCTTAAGGATGTGCAACAGATTTTCTCTTCTGTCCCTATTAGTGCCGTAGTTAATTCTGTGCCCTGCTGTTTCCTCACATCTAACTATGAGTGACACATCTTGCTTTATGGGCATTCTTTGAAGCATAATTCATGGTTGTGAAATACCGGCAGTGGCCAAGACAGAAAACCTTCTCAGATTCTGGAGGGGCATCCAGTATGTGAATGTTTGAGGAAGCACTGAAGGAACAAGGGCTTTTCTAAAGGATCTGATGACAAAGCTACTCCACTTGAATATGGGAAAACGAAAGTAGTTATGTGGAAGAGATGAAGTGCTGTGTGATTCCTGCCCCAAAGATAGGATCCAGCTGGTGCTAGACAGAGTCTGTCAATGACAGCAGTTGGATTGGGTGGAGGTGGGTGGAGGGCTTGGGCACAGTTTCACACTCAGTACACTCCACAAAAGGATTCAGTGGAAGAGGGATGAGAGTGGTGGCGAAAATGTGGTCATAGATGAGGAGAAAAAGGTTTCTTACCAAACGTAGTCCACCATCTGGGTCTGAAAGTGACTTCATCATGCAAGATGACGCTGTGTGCTGGTAGTGGCATGAGGAACACACATTCCTGAACTTTGTTCATTTTATATGGACAAATATCTGTATCCCTTATCTACAGTTACAAAACTAGATAGCAGAGACATCAAGGATTGAACAATGAGAACACAATATTTTGTTTCTACAGATGATATTTTCAGCTCAAAATCAATACATTTCAATGGGCTGTAGGATTGAGAAAGGTTAATCTTCTATTGCTTCAGCCCGTACTGTGTCTCTTTATTGAAGACGTTCTGTGCTTGGATTTCTGCAGCATGCACAACTACTAGGGTTGTTTTGAAGAAATGCTTGATTTTTAGCACTGTTGGTGATTGAAAAAACAAACCACCAAACTTTCATATGTATGTTTTACTCAAAGTTTTTCCAGTTTTGCATGAGGAGTGGATCTGGAGCCAGGTAATAATCTCATTGTAATAATTTATGAGAACTCTGAACAGGGAATGGAAAAAAAAAAAGGAATTATGAGGTTTAGCAAGAGACAGCAGAGCTCACTTGCTAACTAGGGTGGGAAGAAGTCAAAAATCCCTATATAAAGTACTAGAAGGTTATAGTGCTGTTAATGTTGTTTCTTGTTCTATTTAAAAAGAAATGGAGTGGACCTATTTATAAAGATCAGTGTTTACCTGTATGAGGAATTACAAGCTGTAGACTTGACTAGTTAATATGCAAATAACTGTCTTGCTTTCATTTCTGATCAGCTTCCATTGGTACGTTTATCTAGCGTGATTAGTTGTTGAGAAATACGGGACTTTAATCCCTAAAGCATAAGGGTGTGCTCATGATGCCTCCATTTCTTTTAAGAAACAAGAAGATATGTGCAATTGTAGCACAGTGTGGTAACCTAAGAAGCCTCAATGATTTAGTTTGAAAGACTTGTGTTTCAGGCTTGTGTTTAAAGGTTCCTGTCCTTCTGATAGAAGCTATAGTGAAAGGTGTGAAAATGCAGGGTTAGAGAAACGTTCCAATGAGAAATTGTGCCTGTTTGCTGGTACAGGTGCTTTCAGGAAGGGAAGGGACTACTGATTTTTTGAGTTCTTTTTGCATGAGCCCTGTAAAAGGGATGGAGGAGGTGCCTAAGAAAAGTCTCAGGACTGGGAATCCCAAGCAAGTTAGCTTACTTCAACCTGGAGCTGGGATCCATGTATGAAGAGTCCTGAGAAATGTATTGAACTGTCCATCTGGTTCCTGTAAAGAGTTTTTCACTTTAACTAGGCTTGTCAGATCCCATTCTTATATGCTCTTCTGCATTATACACTGAGGCAGGGTGTCTAATTTGGAGCTTTGGATTTGGGCAAAGAAAAAGTGCGGGGCTCAGCGGTGCAGTAGCCGGGCCCTGTACTGGATCTGGCCTCAAACTGCAGTGTGTGTGAGTAATGGTAACGGAGTCATAAGAACAGAATGACTGTACAGGGGAGAGAGCTGCACTTGACTTGCTAGGGTGAAAAACATATTTGTAAAGGGATTCAATTAGTGTTGGGTACAAGAATGCCACTTAGTGAAACAAGCGACTGTACCTCTTTTTCAGTGGCAGAGAAAAGTGACACATCCTGGATAACCAGCAGTCCCCGTTCCTATTCTCGGTGTCCCTGCAGAGCTGATGGCACCGCAGGCTGGGTTAGTCAGAGCCGAGCGAGGGATGAGTGCCAGCCCCAGTGTGCTGTGCTGCCTGGCCACCCGGCTGCGTGCCCAGCCTGCCAGTGCGGGGGATTCCCGGCTGTGGGGCCTGCAGGGAGGGGCCTTCAGTATTTTGGGAGCGAGGTGGGAGGGAGTGAGCGCGTGTGAGGGGCTGCAGCGTGATCTCACCCAGATGTGGAGCTGCCTAGGAGGTACTTGTGTGCCAGCAAGGTCACAGGAGATCTTGAAAGTAACAATTGGATATCTCTAGTGTTTGGCTGTGCCCTATTCATTCTGGTTTATTTCTCCTTTTTGCCTTCTTTAGACTTCTCCCTGCCTATAGCTCTGCCTCCCTATAGTTCATTTTTATTTGCTGTTTTACTCACACATGTACTTACCCCTTTAGCTTTCCTAACTTCTTTCTCTGTTATCTCTCCTGTGATCTGCCACACAGTTGGGCCACCTTCCATGTGATGGAGCAATGTAGCTAAGCTGTAGGTTGCCTTACGCTTGCAACACTGCAACCCCGAGGGAGATTGCATCTGCAGAGATCTGCCTTCATGCCTGGATTGATAAGTGACGCTGGGGAAGCATCTTGGCAAGGTATTCCCATACATGTGTGTGCATGTTGCTGTGTGAGCTCATTCAAAATGTCCGTCAGCTCTATCAGCTCAGCTGACTGGAGGCTCTTTCAGGCTCTGCAGCAGCTGAGGGAAGTGAGAGCAGGGCTGCAGGGCTAGGGGAAGAGCTGAATGCACCCTCAGAAGGGAGATGCCTGTTCCTAGGAATGTATGATGACCTTAAGCCAGAGATCCAAACCCCCTCGCCTGACCTTCGTTTAATTCTTTCCCTTCCAGTGAGTCGCGCTCCCTGCCTGTGACTCATCCTTGTCTAAATGCAGCCTGCAAGCTCTCAGAGGACTGCCTTTCTCTCTGAACAGAGCAACATAAAAAATAGCAACGCTGTTGAATAACCAGTATTATTTTTTAACACAATTTTTTTGAGGACTGCCTTGCTGTATTTGTGCTTCTCTGTCAAGAGATTTATTGGTTCCCTGAGAGAACAGTGGAGCAGCTTCTGTCGTGACCCACAGCAAGAAGGTAGTTCAGGCATGGGCTCAGGGGCAGCACAGCAGCAGTGCCATGGGCAACAGACATTAAAATAGAAGGTGGTAGGCTCTGACAGAGGCCAGAAAATCTTAGCACCCACGTACGTCCTTCCCCATTTCTGACCTACTGTCCACATCCCTCTGGAAAATGCGGTGGCCATTATGTGGACATGCAGCTGTTCAGCAGGCTGCCCAGCTTCCTTCTTCCAGCTCATGCCTACACTGTGCTGCCCAATGGGCTGTTGTTCTCCACAGAGACCCTGTCTGTCCAATTACCTTCCATCCCGCGCCTGAGCTCTGGTTCTGTCTGTAACTGGGAGCAGATCTCTTACTGAGCCACAGTGGTTTCTCTTTCCAGATGCTGCTGCAGTATCCTGTCTCCTCATCACGTCGCCCTCTGGAAGACAGAAGTGAGAGGGACGATCAGCGGTGCGCTGCTGTCCTGCAGGCAGTTGAAGAACCGCTTTGACAGCTAGCAGGAGAAAACTATGCAATGTAATCACAGCCTGTCTGTGCTCTTTCTAACAATGTACGGTAGCACCCTATTCCCAGTGAGGGGATGCTGTGTCCTCCCTCTGATGATCTGTATTCTTCTCCGTTACTGTAACTAAGCTGTTTCTTTCCCACAGCCATGTGTTCCTGCAGAAATAGCAAGGATACCCCACGCAGATTAAGGTTTACAAATTCAGGAGGGGCTTGGACAGAGCAAAAGGAGAATGAAGTAATTCCAAAATATTTGTACTCCGGCTGATAAAACTAGCAGGAGAGCTAATGTTGTGTGGGGTTTGCTGTAGGGTAGAAGGAAACCCGGGGACAAACTGTCTCCTCTTAGACCTGCTGTAAGTGCTGTATGATAAAGGTAAATTTCCAAACTTAGCCATAAAGCTGCAGGTCAGCCAGCAGGACGGCAGCTTGTCCCAGTTCCCACTGCAGGCTGTATAGAAGCTGCGTGTTGGATCCGATGGGGTTTGAATCCTACCACGAAAACAATGGCTGTTCTCAAGGTCGGGAGCACAGCTTTCTGTTATGTGGTTTTGAATGGAAGAATTATTGTGTATCTATTTATGTAAAATGGAAAATGTAAAAAAAAAATATATATATATATACACACTTTTCTTTAATAAATCTACGAAACGAGTAAACCTTTGTTTCCGTTCAGTGTCTTTGGGTTTGGTCCCCTTTTCACTCAGCGACCCATCGCTGGAACCGCGCCAAGGCCGCGTTCTGAGCAGCGCAGCGCCCGTAGCGCATCGTGCCCGGCTCCGAAAAACGATCCCTGCCCTAAGGGCGCTCTTTGGGGTCCCGCGAATGACGCGGTGGGGGGGGGTGGTAAGGGGGAGAGACGCTGCGCGCGGGCAGGGAAGGGGAGGGGGCCCCGCACCAGGTGCGGAGGCAGCCCGCGAGCGGACGGAGGGGGAAGGGAGAGCCTGGAGACGCGCTCAGGCCCGAGGCGGGGCTACGGCATTTTATGAATGGGCTCATATGACGTCAGGAAGGGCGGGAGGAGAGGTTCCTCTTATCGCCAATCCCGCGGGGCCCTCGGAGCGGAGGGCCAACCGGAGCGCGTCCGCCGCGTGACGGCCATCTCTCGCGGCCAATGGCAGTAAGGGAGCGGTGCCGACCACGTGGGGCGCAGGCCGCAAGTAGTACGGGGGCGTGTGGCCGCGCGCTCCCTCCCCCCTCCCTTCCGGCCGCGCTAGAGGAGGGTGGGCGGGGCCGCCCGCGTTGCCAGGTTACCGCGTGATCGAGCGGCCCTTCAGCCAACGGCAGCGCGGCGGGGGCGGGAGCGGCGGCGGCTGCGGGCCGGCGGTGGCCGGGAGGGTTCAGTCCCGTCACGGCCGCCTCCGCAGGCAGCATGCTGGCTCCCGCCGCGCTGCCGGCCGCCGGCCTGTTCTACTGGGTGGGCGCGTTGGGCGCCCTGTACGCGGTGGTGCTGGGCGCCTTCCGCCTGCTGAGCGGGCTGCGTGTATGGGTGCTGGGCGGCGGCCGCGCCGTGGGGCCCCAGCTGGGCGCATGGGCAGGTGGGTGCGCTCCGCGGGGCGGGGGGGTCCGCGTTCTGTCCGTCTGCGCGTGGGGGAGGCGGTGTCGGGGCGTCGGGGGCGGGAGCGGGGCTTTGAGGGGCAGCGCCGGGATTCGGTGAGGCTGTGGGCGCGCTCGGGACCGCCCCGGTGTCCTCTCGCTCTCCGCTCCCCGGGCTCCGAAGCGCTGCTGAGCGGGGGAGCCGGAGAGCTGTGGGTCCTCGGAGCCCGACCGACGGTTTCCTGCCGCCACTCCGTCCCGGTACTCCGGCGGCGCAGCTCCGGGCAGGGGTGCTGCGAGGAGCCGGCGCGGCCGTAACGCGCGGGGCAGCTCCTGTGCGCGGAGCTGGAAGGGGCCCTGCTCACAACTCGCTTGTCTCTGTACGGCCCCTCCTGAGCGACCACGAGGAGTTGCGAAGTTCTGTGCCGCGGCACAGCGGCTCGGATCGAGGCCGCTCGTAAACCCTCGGGCAGCGGGAAGGCTGGCGTGAGGTTTGTGCAGGTGGTGTGAGAAACTGCGAGCGGTGCCTCTCAGACGGAGTCCTTAGGAAGGCTCTGATATAAACTTTTTTCCTGCCCGCTAGGGCAGCGGGGCAGCCTGCGGGTGCTGATGCGCTGTGGGCCCGCAGCAGTGTGGCGGTGCGGGGCACAAAGGGCCCAGCTAGATCTTATCGTGGTCCCTGCGGCGGCCGAGGAGGATCCATACGTGGGTAGACATCGGGCAGTGAGCACCTGCTCCTGGGAGGCGTGAGCTGATGCTCTGGTCAGATTAGTTATGGTGTGACCGCAGCTAGCTAAGGCCCACGCCTTCCTTCGAGGGAAGTGGAGTGCTGGTTGGTAGTGTGGCTGGGGAGGGCCCCCAGCTCCTCTCTCTGCTGTGCACTGCTGTGCCAGCCCTGTGCCTTCGTGAAGCACATCACATGGAGCTACGTGCTTTGTTGTTCCCCAGCCACGTCTTCAACCAGTGTGGAGCCCTATGAGAGCGTTCTCTGTTAGTGCTGCACCCGATGGCTGCTGACAGAAACGCTTTCTTTCCCGATCTCTGAGTATGGAAGAAGAGGCACACTGGCACAGCTCAGTCCCCACTGCTGTCACTCCCCCTCAGAAGCTCTGCGGGGGCCGCTCACCCCTTCCTGCCTTCCGGCCGTTCTGTGCTTTTGGGACTGATTTATGAGTTCTTTCTTTGTTTTCTGAGCAGACTTGTGGTTGCATGCATGCAATTGGCTGTGTGCTGTGTCTGGTTGCTGGTGCTTAGGAAGAGGGGATGTGAGGAGGAGGAGCTACTTGAGCCGGTATTGTACTCCGGGAAAATGAAGTTTGTGCTTCTTTAAATAGCAACCGTAGTTGCAAAAGGGTTGTTTCTCCACTATGACACAAAGGTTTGTTTGAAGGTCTGCGTGGGGCTGTGCTTTTTTCTTCTCCCCCTGTAGCTCACACTGGCTTGGTTTTGGTTTCTCTTTAGTGACCTGGGTTGAGTGGATGTTGTCCCTGTATGGGATCTCTGGGTGCACCTTGTGAGAATACACTGAACTTTGGGTCAGCTGCTCCACAGCTTTAATTTGCCTCATACATCGATGGCAGAAGCTAAGAATAATATCTTCCTTCTTTGTAAAACAGTTTAGCTAAATAAACCTCGGTAGGAGCGTGGTGCCAGGGAGCCGCTCTGGTGGATGCAGCACAGTGAGGCCTTTGTCCTCCCCTGCTCCAGCCAGGGTGGAGGTTCTGAAGGTGGAGGTTCTGAAGGTGGAGGTTCTGAAGGTGGAGGTTCTGAAGGAAACAGTGCTGAGCTGGGTAGATGTAAATCATCAGCTTTAGGCATTCAAAATACTCCAGTACTCCAAGTCAGAGTGATCATTGATGCCATAAGATTTCTAAAATCTTGGTTGTGTCAATTACTTCATCTTTTTTTCCTCTCTCAAAATGGCAAAGATTTTAATGAGGACATTTAACTGGAAGCCAGGTTTGTTTCAGTGAGGCTCTGAGCACCCTGATCTAGCTGTAGGTGTCCCTGTTCATTGCAGGACAGTTGGGCTAGGTGGCCTTTAGGGGTCCCTTCCCACTCAAATGATTCTATGATTCTAAAACCCCAGTTTTCTTTCAGGCCTCGTGATTCCTTAGGACAACGTGCTCTTCTTCCCCACTGCCTTTGGTACAAACGAGTACAAAATAACGAGCAGACATTTAGTGATTACAAAATGTCTAATAGCAATGATGCTTCCTCATGTGGTGAATACAGCTGTACAGTTGTATTGGGGCCAACAAATGTTTGCAAAGATGAGCTTGCCTTAATTAAGCTTCTTGGAGATTATGCAAAAATAACCAAATGTGGGCAACTTGCTCTAGATTTCTTAAAAAAGTATCTATAAAAGGTCATTAATCAGAGTGGTGCACTCAGCTGCCTCCAATTTTCTATAGGTTGCTTTTAGCCAAAATCCCCACACTCAGCACTGACCCATTCTTTTCCTGCATAAATGCTGAGCAGTAACTTCCTCCATCAGCAGCAAGGATGGGTGAGCACTCTGCCTGCTCTTGCTGGTTTTTTCTTCTTAATGTAGTCCAGGCTTTGGTATGCATAGTCTGACATCTGAAAATAGCGACTTCTGGGGGATCGCTAAGGAAGATGTGGAAGACAGGATTAACTGGGTGCCCAAGCAATGAAGTAGGTGTTGATCTCTCTTAGCAGTTGGGTTCAAGAGCCAAGACATGTCAGGTGATTCCCAAGCTCTGGTTGACAAGGAAGCAGGGCTAATAGCCAGCTCTAGAAAGACCTCAGCTGTCATCTTATTATCATTTCTAATACAATGAGATGCTTATGGGAAGATGAAGTGACAAGCTGGATATTGTGCTTGTCAAGAGTTTGAGTTTGATTCCATGTAAAGGAATTTGCTTCCTGTAGTCCCTGGAAACTGTGCACTTTAAAACGGACCCCAATCCTAATGAGGATATTGGGGCAACCACAATGAAATCTCTTTGACGATAGATTATTTTAGTGGTAATTGAAGAGGTCTATGCAGAGGACATTGGCTGTAGTCCTGGCTGGAGTGCTCACCAAGTGCCAACTGGTTGGTACCTTTGAACAGCTTTCGCAAGCACTGTCATTTTCTCAAGCTCCTTAGCATTACATGAAATAAAGTTCTGCTACTGGAAGGGTGTTTTCCTTTGTTTGGTGAAGAGAAATTTAAATCACTGTTGCACAAGTGAGTGCAATCATGCTTTGCAGGCATTTGGCGCTGCGCAACTAGTTGACAGAGCACATCGTAAATCTGTTGCAGATGAAAGCAGCCAGTCCAGTACTGTGCGTGGGAAGGGTGTAGGTAGTGGTGAAATGAGGAGGGGTTCAGCCCTCTGTTAGCGCTGCTGCTGCAGGGTGGGAGAGGAGGGGCTTTGACAACTCCT